CATAAAATATCTTTTTCTTAAAAAAGCACATATTTGGATCATTTTAAAAAATTTACTTTGCCAACATCTGTCTTTTGTGTATTTAAAACATTTGCATTTAAATTATTACTAATGTCTTAGGGCTCATATCTGCCATTTACTTTTTATTTCCTCTTTGTCCCCCTATTTCTTAGGTACTTGTTTCTTTCCCCCTTCTCTCCCTATGAGTCATATGAACATTTTTCAGACTTCTACTTTGATATATTTATAATATTTTTGAGTTTTGTGTAATTTTCTCATTGGTTAACTTACATGTAATTTACATATGATATTCTACGTAACTTATAACAGCCTCTGGTGTTACCATTTTAACACTTCAAGTGAAATATAGAAACCTTACTTATATTCAGTTTTTTTTTTTTTTTACCCTCCTGCTTTAAACAAAGAACCGTTTGGAGTATTTCCTCCATATGCACTGACTCTACTTCAGGTAGCATTATAACATAAAATGTGATTAAAGAAACTCGCAAAGTAAACGATAGTGCATTATGGTCACTTCTACTTTTGCCCATTTTATTGTTCTTTCCTTTCTGAAAGTCCCATCTTTTTGTAATCATTTGCTTTCAGGTTGGGGGGTTTTATTTAACCATTATGTAACAGTATGTATTCTAGCAAGAAGTTCTCTTGTTTTCCTTCATTTGAGGATGTCTTTATTTCCCCTTAATTTCTGCAGGATGGTTTCACAGACGTAGAATGCAGCCTTGACACATGCTCTCTTTCAGCCCTTAAAATGGGTCTTACGCTACCTACTGGTCTCCATTGCAGAGGAGAAATTTGCTATTACTCAAATTGGTTTTCCTTTATAGATAATGTGTTATTTTTCTTTGGCTCTTTTTAGGGTTCTTTTATTTCTTAATTTTCAAAATTTTACTTTTGATGTGGTTTGGTGTGAATTTCTTTGGGTTAATCCTGCTTAGAATTTGCTCAGCTTCCTGAATCTGTACATTTATGTCTTGGGAAGTTTTCAGCCATTGTTTCTTCCCATTCTTTTCTTTCCTCTCCTTCCTAGATCTCCAATGATAAAAGGTTAGTTCTTTTGTTATTGTCGCAGAGGTCTCTGAGGTTGTATTAATTTTTTGTCTATTTTCTCTCTGTTTTTACATTAAGTAAATACTATTTATTTGTCTTCAATTTGACTGATGCTGTCTTCTGGTATTTCCATTCTACTCTTGAGTCCATTTGGTGGTTTTTAAGAATAAATTTTATTTATTTATTTATTTGAGAGAGAGAGAGCAGACGTGCACATGAGTAGGCGGAGTGGCAGTGGGAGAGGGAGAAACAGACTCCCTGCTGAGCAGAGAACCCGACGTGGGACTCAATCCCAGGACCCTGGGATCATGACCTGAGTCGAAGGCAGACACTTCACTGACTGAGCCACCAAGGCACCCCCATTTAGTGAGTTTTAAAAAAACTTCAGCTGTTGTATTTTTAGTTCTCTAATTTCTATTTGGTTCTTTAAAAGAATAACAGCTTTATTGAGCATATAATTTATATACCACAAATGTATCCTTTAAAAGTCTATAATTGGGCGCCTGGGTGGCTCAGTTGGTTAAGCGACTGCCTTCAGCTCAGGTCATGATCCTGGAGTCCCAGGATCAAGTCCCGCATCAGGCTCCCAGCTCCACGGGGAGTCTGCTTCTCCCTCTGACCTTCTCCTCGCTCATGCTCTCTCTCACTGTCTCTCTCTCTTTCTCTCTCAAATAAATAAATAAAATATTTAACAAAAAAAAAGTCTATAATCAGTAGTTTTTAGTATACTCAGAATTGTACCACCATCACCACTGGCTGATTTCAGAACATTTTCATTTCCTCCAAAGGAAACCCCATACCTACTAGCAGTCATTTCCAATTTTATCCTCCTTCCCACCCCTGGCAACCGGTAATTCACTTTCTCTGTCCATGGATTTGCCCAACTGGGACATTTTATATAAATGGAGTCACACATGTGATCTTTCGGTGTGACAACTCTCACTTGGCCTGATGTTTCTAAGATTCATTCCACTGTTGCCAGCGTCAGATCTTCCCTCCTTACGATGGCTGACTCATGTCCTATGCTGTGGACAGATCACATTTGGTTTATGCATTCATCAACTGATGTACATTTGCTTGTTTCTGTTTTTTGCTTGTATGAGTAATGCTGCCATGAACATTCATGCACAGGTTTTTGCGTGGACATGACTTGATTTCTCTTCGATGGGCGCCTAGGACTGGGACTGCTGGGTTGACATCATGAGCAGATGCCAGACTTCTCCAAAGTGGCTGCGGCATTTCCCAGTCCTACGAGTGTCCAGTTTTTCCATGTCATCACCAGCAGTTCATTTCCATAACTTCTATTTCTTTCTTGAGATTTTCTGGTTTTTTTTTTTTCCACTTGTTTCAAAGGACTTTGCAGTTTATCATGGAAGCACCTTTTGTGACGGCTGCTTTAAACCCTCGGCCGATAGTTCTGAGACCTGCACCACCCAGTTCATTGTATTTTATCATCAGATTGTTTTTCTCCTGGTTTTTCAGATGATGGGTGATTTTCGCTTGTATTCTGGACTGCGATGTTAGGAGACCCTTCCCTGTCAGCAGGTTGTCATCCTGGTTAAGTTCAGAGGATCTGTTCCGTCCTTTTGTGGCTGTAGGTCCAATGACAGATCCGCTTCTAGGGGCCTTGCAAGGCTATCCTGGCCTGTCTCATTCTTCTGGTGCTGTGGGGCTTCCACTCAGTCCCTGCTAGTCCCCAGGAGTCCGCTGTCACTGTGTCACTGTGGTGGGCAGCCAAGGCCACGGGGCCTGGGGTGGAGGGCAAGACACACAGGGCTTTGCTGTCACTGTGGCTGTGGGCAGATCAGACCTGTCTGACCGTGAGGTCTCAGTAAAGCTAACCTGTCAGCAGTTAGCACTGTGGGAGGAAACCCACAGCCTGGGCCCCTCGCTTAGATCTGGCAATGCTCAGGGCTACCAAGGTCATTGGTTGCCCTGCTCAGAGACAGAGAGACGACCCCTGATACGTTCTGGAAAGGCCCTAACTGTCCCCATTGGTTCCTGGAGGCTATGGGTGGCTCCTACTTCAGTATATCTGACTCTGGACTATAATCTCTGCATTGCCCCTGTGGAGCGTCTGGAGCAGGCTGAGCTCTGGGGGTCACAGGGCCATGAAGACAGTTCTCTGGGCCTTGGGACTGGGGACCCTTCTCCTCACTCTCAGGGCAGTCCCCATTGGTAAGTTTCTCCTCCCCTCATCCGTGGAAGCTTCTGGAAACCATGGCTCTGTAAAGCCTGAGACCCTGGGGTGTGGGGATCTCCTGCTGTGACCAGCTGTCTCTTAGGTGTTTGCTTAGCCCCAAGGGGGATGGGTCATCCTGGGGCCAGTGGGCATGTGGGCTCCAAAGTTTGTGTCCCTGGAGACTCTTGTTCTGACAAAGACTGAGGTGCTCTAACTCCATGGTGAACCCGGGGTGCAGGGCTGGGCCAGAGCCTGGGTGGAATGAGGGGACAGGGGTAGGGTCCCCATGACCCCATGGACGGGAGGTGCTGAGGGGTCTTGCAGAGCGGCTGCTCCATCCGTTTTCCCTGGGGCTGCGGTGCTGCTGAGGGAGTAAGAGAGCTGTACTGGGCCATGAGGTGACCGTTCAGCTTGTGCTGGGACCCGGAAGAGACACAGTTCTAGGGAGTTGCAATAGCAAGGTGGGGGTCACAGTGGTGTGGGTCCAGTGGGCCCAGAAACCAAGAGGCAGGATCATGTGTAGAAAGGCGTAAGGGGGTTCTGCCAGACGGACCAGCACGGAAGGGCTGGTGGTGAGAGAAGCAGCCCCTGGGGGAACTGCACACACTAGCGCGGGGCTCTGACCGGGTGCGTGGCCGTGCTGGTGTCAGACGGTGTGTGTGACCATGCACATGTGTGCACACGCGTGTGAGTTGTGCAGGGAGACAGGAGCGCAGAGCAGTGTCCAGGGCCCTGGAAACTGATGGAAGGACATTTCTTGGGCAGGCTGTCCCAGGGCCCAGCCCGGGTGGCCTCGGAGCTGGACAGTGAGGGCGCCGCAGGTGATGGTGGCGGGGATCTGTGGCCAGTGGTGCCATCGGGCGGGAGTGGCATGGGAAAGCTGGAGGGACCTCGTTTTGTGTTAAAGATGCGGACACACATTGCACAGGTTGGAAGGGGATGCGGAGGCTCTGGGGTTGTACCAGCGCTGAATGAAGACCCTCCAGGGTCGGTGAGACGAGTGGTGAGGGGGACATGCCTTCCTCTGGATCTGTATGCGGGAGTCTGCCCTCTGCCTCCTCCCTCTGTGAGGCCAGGATGTGCCCTGGATGTGGTCTGGGGTGGCCCAGGCTGGGACATAGACTGCTCCGTTGTGTTGTGTTGTGTTTCTGCTGTTGTGTTTCTCCCACACCAGCCCAGGAGGGGGTCATGAGAATGGGGGATCAAGGGGCTGTGACGGGGAGGGGCTGTGCAGGAAAAACCAGGGTGCAGAGGTCTAGACGGGGTGTTGTTCTGGAAATGTGTCCTGGTCCTGGTAGGATGGTCCATTTGGTCCTGGTCCAGGGAGCTGCCAAGACCTGAAACCCAAGGAGGAGGCTTGGAGGGTAGAACTGGAAGGGTAGGCGGCCAGGTGGGAGGAGGAAGGGATGAGCAGTGAATGGAGAGAGGTGCGGTGCGTGTCGTGGGCCACAGGCCCTCTAGTGGAAGTGGGGGATGATGACTGGGAGGTGTGGTGGGTGGTGGGAAGAACGGTGGAGGACAAGGGGCCTTTCTTGCCTGGGGGTGGAGTCACCCACATTGTAGGGGGCCCAGAGGGCTGGGGAGGGAAGCAGAGGACATGACTGGCGGGAGGGGGACTGTGGAGGTGAGGACACAAGGCTGCCTGGGGGCAGTGGGAGGGTCTCTGTGTGACCCCACCCTGTCACCTTTCTGGACTGCGTCTACTGGGGGCGTCGAGGGACCCCTCTGAGGCTGGCCTGTCCTTCTGCAGGCGGACCACGCGACCTGAGGCTGGCGTACAGACACAGTCCCTGCGACGGAGTGGTGCTGGTCCGCCACAAGGAGCAGTGGGGACACGTATGCAACGAGGGGTGGACATTGGCAGAGGCATCCGTGGTCTGCAGGCAGCTGGGCTGCGGCCATGCGGTGGGTGCACCCAAGTACGTCCCGTTGCCTGGGGAGATGGTGCGGCCGTGGCTTCACAACGTGTCCTGCAGGGGTGATGAGCCCTCCTTCTGGGAGTGCAGCCTCGGGGCTTGGACGCAAAGCGAGTGCCCTCACGAGTGGGTGGTGGTGGCTCTGTGTGCAAGTAAGTCTGCTGGAAGGGGCCTGGGGAGGGGGAGAAGGGTGGGTCTGGGGGGAGGTGAAGAAGGGCGTCAGGGGAGGGGGGAGGAGAGAGCGTCTGGGGGAGGGGGGAGGGTGAGTCCGGGGATGGGGAGGAGGGGCTCTGGGGTCTCTGGCTGGAGCTCCTCACTGGGCTTGAGAACCGCCCTCACCTGTAAAGCCTTCCGATCTCTCGATCTCTTGTGAGTCCTTCATTCCTTCTGTTAGGGTCATTTGCTGATCTCTGGATCTCTCGTGAGTCCTTCATTCCTTCTGTTAGGGTCCTTTGCTGATCTCTCGATCTCTTGTGAGTCCTTCATTCCTTCTGTTAGGGTCCTTTGCTTTTCTTCCAACAGATGCTTATTTGCAGGACACTATTCTAGATGCGGGGGGCGGGCAGCAGTGAGTAAATCAGACCAGCCGCTGCTGCAGGAGCCTCTCCTCTCCCCCGGGGGGCAGGGAACAAAGGAGCAGGGCAGTGATGTGGGAGGAGCAGGAAACACACGGGTGGGCGGGGGCTTGAGGACCACCCTGTCTTCTAGACACTTTAGGTCGAAACATGATTTCCAAAATGAGGAGGGGGCGAACGTGTTCCCTTAGAGGTCTCGCTTGAGGGTCTTCTGCTGTCTCTGGGCACTTAGGTGGCCGAGAACCTGTGAGGTTCCTCTGTAGCATCCCATCTGTGAGGCTGACTCACTACGCCCAGCATAAAGCGAAAGTGCAGGGACCCCTGAAAACAGCAAGATTTTCAAGACAGCGACAGGCCCAGGTCCCTCTGAGTGGGGGGCCTGCTGGGTGGGGGGCCTTTGGGACCGCCTGTTCTCAGAGAGGGCCCCACGCAGCCCAGCACTGAGCCCCTGGAAGGAGCAGGCTGGTCTCGGGCTGGAACCCAGGCCCAGTGTAGGCACTGCCGCGCCCAAATGCAGGCTGGTCGTCGAGGTGGGCCACAGGCTCCGAGCGGCCAAGCGGCCGGCAGAGTCCCCCACCTTTAGCCACGTGGGCCTGTGGTTCTCAGATGGCACCTTTCGGGAGATCCGGCTGGTGAAGGGCCGCAGCCCCTGCTCTGGGCTCCCCGAGATCAGGAATGTGAATGGGGTGGATCGCCTCTGCGGCCTGCATGAGGAGGAGGCCACTGTGTTCTGCCGGGAGCTGGGCTGTGGGCCTGTGCTTCAGGCGCCGCGCCGAGATGTGGGTGTCGTCGGGAAGTACATGACGTGCAGGGGCACCGAGCCCACCATCCGGAACTGCAGGCTTAACAACAATCTTCGCAGCGGCTGTGACTTCCAGCAGGACGCGGACGTGGTCTGCGCAGGTGAGGCCCTGTGCGCGCACGGCCCCGAGTCCCCAGCTCAGGGCCCTGGGGGAGTTGCTGCCGGGAAGGGTCTCAGCCCTCCCCACCAGATCGCCCGATCTCCTCCTGCCACTGGGCCCCTTGCCGTCTCAGAGGGATCAGGTCGGGGCGGACTGGGCAGGCAGAGAGGAGAGCCCTGTGCCGGGACCATCTGGCATTCTCTGGCTCAGAGCTGTTTGGAACAGAGGCCTGGAGGTGAGGGCACGGGAAATGCTCTTGGATGGCCCACGGGGGCCTCCCCTAGGGCCCCGTGTGTTCTCCCTGCAGAGGTGTCCTGGCTCAGAGCCCCCAGGCCGGCGGGGGGCCTGGCTGTCCTGCAGCATTTGAGCTGGTGGAGTTGAGATTGTCACGTGTGCAACACGAGCAGCCTGGCTGGTGGCTGTCCCCTCCCAGTCCTGCCTCAAACGGGCAAGTGAAGCGGCCCTCAGAGATGCTGGCTTGGTTCTGGGAATGAGGAAAGGCTGAAGTGAGGTGGATGGGCCCCATGTCCTGGGTGCCCCCAAGAAGGCAGTGACCTGTGGCTGGAGAGGTGCCTTGACCAGGCCTCCAAGACTGTACAGAGCCTTGAGGCCCCTGCCCTGGGCAGGCAGAGGCTGTGTGACACATGTGAGCCCCTGGAGGAGGTGACTCTGTCCTCTGACCTCAGGGAAGTGACCAGTGACCCCCGCTCTGCCTTAGGTAGAGGGTGTCTGGGCTCCTGGCTCTCAGTCCCTGGCCCGGGCTTGCGGACCTACTGCTTGGGCCCAGGTGCTCTGCCCTGGCTGGAACCTATTGCAGTCTGGGGAGGTGGCCGAGTGGTTCGCCTGAGAACATGACCCCTAACGGAGTTTGTGTCCTCCACCAGGGCACACGGAAGCCCGGTTGGAGGGCGGTGAGCACCCCTGTGCCGGGCGTCTGGAAGTGAGGCGTGGCCTGACCTGGGGCACCGTCTGTGATGATGACCTGGACCAGGCCACGGCCCACGTGGTGTGCCGGGAGCTGCAGTGTGGCTCGGCCGTGTCCACGCCCGGGGGCGCCCACTTCGGTCGGGGCTCTGGGCCTGTGTGGACGGAGGCCTTCCTTTGTACAGGCAACGAGTCTCTGCTGTTCCACTGCCCTCGGGGGCCAGGGCACCAGTGTGGGCACGGCCAGGATGCCGGGCTCAGATGCTCAGGTGAGGCTAAGAGGGCAGCCTCCAGTAGCCTTCCCTGCCAGCCCCCCTCGGTGACTCCCTCTGGGGGCTCTAAGCTAGGCTCACGAAGATGCCTCTGGCCAGGAGGGTGTGCGTGTTCCCAGTTGAGGAAGTGTCGCCTCTGTGGGTTGAAGGAAGGGGAGGAGAAGGTTGTGCCCCCACCCCCTGCCCCCAGCTGCACGCCACAGTCTGCCAGCATGTCTGCCTAGAGGCTGATCTGGCTGCTGAGGCTGAGGAAGGGAGGGAGCTAGTGAGGCAGGCAAGGGCATGGCGGTGGCCACCGCACTGGGTGCAAAGGAAAGAGTCAGGTCTGTGGGGGAGGGGGATGCTGATACCCACTCCCCTCTTCAGAGTTCCGACTGGTTAACGGCAGCAGCAGCTGTGAGGGGCGCGTGGAGCTCCAGGTGCAGCGGGCCTGGGCACCAATCTGCGCGGCCCACTGGGACTTAGCAGACACCACTGTCCTCTGCCACCAGCTCAACTGTGGCAGCGCAGAGGCCACACCCCTAGGAGGCCACTTTGGGGGCGGGGACGCTCCCATCTGGCCTGATGTGTTTCACTGTGTGGGGACAGAACCCTATTTGTGGAATTGCCCAGTAGGCACCCTCGGGAGCGGGGCCTGTGCCCTGGGGAACGCAGCTGCCGTGGTCTGCTCAGGTGGGTCTGCGAGAGCGGGGTGGGGGGAGCAGAGGGAGGCTGGGAGTGGGCGGGGTTCTGCTGGGAGGTGGTGGTCCCCTCCCCTTTACACGCGGAGAGTCCCTCCCCCTGACCCCTGTCCGGGCTTCCTCCCCAGGTCTCCTCCACGCCCTCCGGCTGAGGGACGGACAGAGCCGCTGCGATGGCCGCGTGGAGGTCTCCCTGGACGGGGTGTGGGGCCGCGTCCTGGACGACTTGTGGGACCTGCGCGGCGCCCACGTGGTGTGCAGGCAGCTGGGGTGCGGACTGGCTGACCGGGCCTACGATGCACCTGCGCCCCGGCGCGGGGCCGTCCCCGTGGGGTTGAGCCGCGTGCGCTGTCAGGGCACCGAGACCCGCCTGACCCAGTGCAACGTGTCCGCATCTCCGCTAGTACCCGCGGGGGCCGCGCGGGACGCGGGCGTTGTGTGCTCTGGTGAGTGAGTGCCCGGGCCGCCCGCCCATCTGCCCGCGGGCCGGCTGCCCTGACTCCGCGCGTGTCCCCGCAGGGAGCCGGCGGGTGCGGCTGGCCGCGGGGCCCCACCGCTGTGCGGGGCGCGTGGAGGTGCTGCACGGAGGCGTGTGGGGCACCGTGTGTGACGACGGCTGGGACCTGCGGGACGCCCACGTGGTCTGCCGGCAGCTGGGCTGCGGCCAAGCCCTCCGCGCCCTGGGGGCTGCGCCCTTCGGTGCCGGCTCTGGGCGCATCTGGCTGGACCAGCTGGGCTGCAGCGGCCGCGAGTCTGCGCTGTGGCAGTGCCCGTCGCGGGGCTGGGGCCGGCAGGACTGCGGGCACAAGGAGGACGCGGGCGTCGTCTGCTCAGGTCGGTCCTGTTCGTTGAGTCTCCCTGGGGCAGCTGGGTACCAAATGGCCGCGCTGTCCGAGTGCGTGACACCGCGCACACTTGCCTTCCTCGGATTCCGCTCGCCCTCTTCCCGGCTGGAGAGCTCCACCGGGCCCCCGAGGGTGCTCTCAGGCGGCGGCGATGCTGCCTGCGCTTTTCACCCTGTCGGGGGAGGGGCGCGGGAAGGGAGTGGGGGACAGGGTGGGACAGGGAACCGCGGGGCGGGTCTGCTCTGATGCTGCTGGCGGCCTCTTATGGTTTGTCCCTCTCTCTGATTTTGTCTTGTTTTATTTTTCCTCTCTTCCCCTGTGTTCATCTGATTTGTTTCCTAAATGCCACATATGAGTGAGATCATGTGATTATTGTTTTTCTCTGATGGACTTCGCTTAGCAAAATACCCTCTAGTTCCATCCATGTTGTTGCAAATGGCAAGATTTCATTCTTTTTGGTGGCTGAGTAATATTTCATTGTATATATGAACCACATCTTCTTTATTTATTCATCTGTCGATGGACATCTGGGCTCTTTCCATAGTTTGGCCATTGTGGACATTGCTGCTATAAACATTGGGGTGCGGCTGTCCCTTCAGATCACGACATTTGTACGTTTGGGGTAAATCCCTAGTAGTGTAATTGCTAAGCCATAGGGCAGCTCTATTCTTAACGCCTTGAGGAGCCTCCCTGCTGTTTTCCAGAGCTGCCGCACCAGTTCGAATTCCCACCAACAGTGCAAGAGGCTCCCCTTTCTCTGTATCCTCACCAATATGTGTTATTTCCTGACTTGTCAATTTTGTCCATTCTTACTGGCATAAGGTGGGATCTCATTGTGGTTTGATTTGTATTTCCCTGATGCCAAGTGATGTGGAGCACTTTTTCATGTGTCTGTTGGCCATCTGGATGTCTTCTTTGGAGAAATGTCTGTTCATGTCCTCTGCCCATTTCTTGACTGAATTATTTGTTCTTTGGGTGTTGAGTTTGATAAGTTCTTTTTAAAAAAAATTATTTATTTGACACAGAGAGATCACAAGCAGGCAGACAGGCAGGCAGAGAGAGAGAGGAAGAAGGAGGCTCCCCGCTGAGCAGAGAGCCCCGTGCGGGGCTCGATCCCAGGACTCTGAGATCATGACCTGAGCTGAAGGCAGAGGCTTTAACCCACGGAGCCACCCAGGCGCCCCATGATAAGTTCTTTATAGATCTTGCATACTATCTGATATGTCACTTGCAAATCCTTTCTACCATTCCGTTGGTTGTCTTTTGGTTTTGTCCTTTGCCGTGCAGAAGCTTTTTATCTTGATGAAGTCTCAACAGTTCACTTTTGTCTTTGTTTCCGTTGCCTTTAGAGATGTGTCTAGTGAGAAGTTGCTATGGCTGAGGTCACAGAGGTTGCTGCCTGTGTTCTGCTCTAGGATTTTGATGCATTACTATCTCACATTTAGGACTTTTGTCCATTTTGAGTCTTATTTTTGAGTTTATTTTTTGTGTATGGCATAAGAAAATTGTCCAGTTTCATTTTTCTGCATGTGGCTGTCCGGTTTTCCCAACACCATTTGTTGAAGAGACTGTCTTTTTTCCACTGGACATTATTTCCTGCTTTGTTGAAGATTAGTTGACCATAGGGTTGAGGGTCTATTTCTGGGCTCTCTATTCTGTTCCATTGATCTATGTGTCTGTTTTTGTGCCAGTACCATGCTGTCTTGATGATGACAGCTTTGTAATAGAGCTTGAAGTCTGGAATTGTCATGTCTCGAGCTTTGGTTTTCTTTTTCAATATTCCTTTGACTATTTGGGGTCTTTTCTGGTTCCATACAAATTTTAGGATTATTTGTTTCAGCTCTGTGAAAAAAGTTGATAGTATTTTGATAGGGATTGCCTTGAATGTGTAGCTTGCTCTGGGCAGGGTAGACGTTTTAACAATATTTGTTCTTCCAATCCATAAGCATGGAATATTTTTCCATTTCCTTGTGTCTTCCTCAATTTCTCTCATGAATGTGCTATAGTTTTTAGGTATTTTACCTCTTTGGTTGGGTTAATTCCTGGGCATCTTACAGTTTTGGGTGTAATTGTAAATGGGATCAACTCCTTAGTTTCTTGTTCTCCAGTTTCATTGTTAGTGTATATAACTGATTTCTGAGCATTGATTTTATATCCTGACACTTTGCTGAATTCCTGTATGACTTCTAGCCGTCTTGGAGTGGAGTCTTTTGGGATTTCCACATAAAGTATCATATCATCTGCAAAGAATGAGAGTTTGACTTCTTCTTTGCCAATTTGGATGCCTTTTACTTCTTTCTGTAGTCTGATTGCTGAGGCCAGGACTGCTAGTACTATGTTGAACAATGATGGTGAGAGTGGACATCCTTGTCATGTTCCTGACATTAGGGGAAAAGCTCTCAGTTTTCCCCATTGAGAATGATATTCACTGTGGACTTTTCAAATATGACTTCTATGATATTGAGGTATGTTCCCTCTCTCTCTACACTGCAGAGAGTTTTATCAAGAAAGGATGCTGCACTTTGTCAAGTGCTTTTCCTGCATCTATTGAGAGTATCATATGGTTCTTGTCCTTCCTTTTATTAATGTGTTGTATCACACTGATTGATTTGTGGTTGTTGAACCAACCTTGCAGCCCAGGAATAAATCCCACTTGGTCATGGTGAATAATCCCTTTAATGGACTGTTGCAGGGAATGATCCAAATCTTTTGGCACTCAGGTTGAGACCTGGTTTGTGACCCCATATGTGATCTGTTCTGGAGAATGTTCCATGTGCAGTTGAGAAGAATGTGTATTCTGTTGCTTTAGGATGGAATGTTCTGAATGTATCTGTAATATCCTTCTGGTCCAGTGTGTCATTCAAAGCCCTTGTTTCCTTGTTGATCTTCTGCTTAGATGATCTGTCCATTGCCATGAGTGGGGTGTTAAAGTACCCTACTACTATTGTATTTTTATTCATGTGTTTCTTTAATTTTGTTATTTACTGGTTTATATAATTGACTGCTCCCATGTTAGGGGCATAGATATTTATAATTATTGGATCTTCTTGTTGAATAAACCCTTAAAACATGATATAGGGTCCTTCCTCAAGTTTTTTTACAGTCTTTCATTGAAAATCTAATTTGTCTGATTTGGGATTTTTACTCCAGCTTTCTTTCAATGTCCATTAGCATGATAAATATTCCCCATGCCCTCACTTTCAATCTGGAGGTGTCTTTGGGTCTAAAATGAGTCTCTTCCAGACAGCATATCGATGAGTCTTGGTTTTTTTATCCATTCCAATACCCTGTGCCTTTTGATTGGGGCATTTAGTCCATTTACATTTGGAGTAACTATTGAAAGATATGAATTTAGGGCCATTGTATTACCTGTAACGTCCCTGTTTCTGAATATTGTCTCTGTTCCTTTCTGGTCTCTGTTACTTTTGGACTCTCTCTTTGCTTAAAGGATCCCCTTTAATATTTCTTGCAGGGTTGGTTTAGTGATCACAAATTCTTTTAGTTTCTGTTTGTCCTGGAAGATTTTTATCTTTTCTTCTACTCTGAATGACAGCCTTGAGGGATAAAGTATTCTGGGCTGCTAAATTTTTCTCATTTAGCACTTGGATTATTCTGTATTTTGAACGATTTCCAAGGACGGATTTCTGGACAATTAGCTGACACCCGCTAAGATCCTACAGCTGGGGATTCATTCTGGTCCCAGAGGTTAACATTTCCCTGCCTCCCTGGGGTGGAAGATTGTCATGGGGACGTGTGATTGATGGGTTAGATGCCTGTGAGCAACATTGATCCTGGTGCTGCGACCCTCTCATTTTTGGCTCCTCCCTTGGAAATTTCCCCTGGACTGACTGCTCTTTTCTTCCAGGGTCAGTAGCTCTGAGGCTGCGAGGTGGCATCCACCACTGTGCTGGGTGGCTGGATGTGTTCTACAATGGGACATGGGGCGCCGTGTGCAGTAATGCCCTGAAGGACATCTCCTTGTCCATCATCTGCAAGCAGTTGGGCTGTGGGGAACAGGGCTGGCTAGAGAACAGGCCTGTCCACAGCAGCTTGGGCACCTCCTGGGTGGATGACATTGAGTGCCGCAGGCTGAGAAACTCCACACTGTGGCAGTGCCCCTCAGCGCCATGGCACCCGCACTCCTGTGCCCCTGGAGAGGAGGTCTGGATCACCTGTGCAGGTGGGACATGGGCGGTTTCTAAGAGCTGCCACTGATCCTGACTCAGGGCCTGGCATCCTGTGGGTTCTACAGACTTCATTCTGAAGCTTTTCAGGGCATTTACAATGGGATGGTGACTATGTAATCCAATAGGATTGTCAGAGAAAATGACACAGGATTCCGGGGAGACCCTCAACTGCTCATCCACCCACGGCTGCCCAGGTACCCTTTCGTCCATCTCCCTGTCCCCCCTTCATCTTGGTCCTGCCCTGCAGTGACCACAGCTCCCTTTTCCAGAGGAGGGTATGCTGCGTGTGCGTGGGGGCAAGGACAGCTGCTCCGGCCGTGTGGAGCTCTGGCATGCTGGCTCCTGGGGCACCATTTGTGATGATTCCTGGGACCTGGCAGATGCAGAGGTCGTGTGCCGCCAGCTGGGCTGTGGCCCAGCTCTGGGTGCCCTTGCAGGGGCCGCCTTCGGGCCAGGCTCGGGCCCTGTGTGGCTGGATGAGGTGGGGTGCCGTGGCAGCGAGTCGTCCCTGTGGAGCTGTCCTGCGGAGCCGTGGGGACTTGGAGACTGTGGACACAAGGAGGATGCTGGTGTGCACTGCTCCCGTGAGTGGGCAGGGGGCAGTGGGCCAGGCGGGGTGGGAGGGATTGCTGGGGGCTGGGGTGGGCGTTGCCAGAAGAGGTCCTTGGAATATCCCCTAAAACATGGCCCTAAGGCTGTACCTGAGTTGGGTTCCTCTGGCTGCCTCTGTGGCTGTCCCATGGCATGTTGGGCTCAGGCTGAGTGGGACGGGGACACTTGGCTGAGGGTCTGGGCTGCCCAGGGCTGTGGCTGCCTCCCCTCCTTTGCCCTCTGATCCCTCTGATTTCTCCTGCAGGTGACAGGGGAGCCACGGCCTTTCCACCAGCACTGGCACGGACATTGGGTAGGTGTGTTCTCCCTCAAGTCTCAGGTCATGCCCTCCTGTCTGGTCCCAACTCAGAGGGGCCCTACAATGGGTTCTGCACAGAGGGGTGCCCTGGAGTTTCCTATGGGTGCCAAGGCCCCAGGCAGCCCCTCCTTAGGTTGGTTGGGCCAAGGTCTGGAGGACCAGGAACACCTCCTCCTCTGAGGAAGAGGGCCAGCCTATATGGAGAGCCATGGGGTGAGATGGCAGGCCCAGGCCTTGACCAGCCACTTCTCTGGGGTCTTTCTTTTACCAGATGGAGGGTTTGACCTGGGAACACTCTGACTCCCTTTTGGCCCCCTCCCTCCTGGTACTTCTCACTCCTGGCCCCCTCCCTCCTGTGTCCCCTCCTTCCTCACCTTTGCCCTGTGACCTCAGGGCTATCTCTAGGAGAGGAGCACAAGGCCCATCTCTCCTCTGGGTGCCTTCCCCCTCCCTGAGAGGCTCAGGTGGTCCAGACCCAAGGTCACAATACCCCAGGCACACGGGGGAGACCCCACCTCTCACTGTCCCCACAGGCCACCCCTCAGCCCCTCCGCCTGCCCTCAAGACTGGGAACCTACCCATGACGTTTTGCCTTGTCCTTGGCACCCTTCTGGTCATCGTCTCCCTGGTCCTGGGGGTGCAGTGGTACCGTGGCAGAGCCCGCAGGGGTAGGTGGGTGTGGCTGGGAGGGGAGCACGTGCTCTGGGGATGGGGATGCCGGGGGTGCATACTCTGAGACCCAGCCCTTCACAGGCCCCTTCTCTCCTGGGAACTGCTCTGCATGTCTGGTCCCACCCAGACCCCCACTGCATGGTGACTTCTCAGTGACACCCTTGGACCCATGAGTTTCCGGGGTCAGGGAACTGTGGACCCTGCTCTGCTTCTGAGGGGTGGCCTGGGTATAAAAACAAGTCCCCAGGGGTGTCCCGATTCCTTATACCATCTGTGTGGTCGGGTTAAACAGCCATTGGAGCCCAGGGAGACATGTCGCCCCTTGTGGGGGACGTTGCTCTTGGTAGGCCAGGCTGCACGGGAGACCCCACAGGGCCAGCAGGGGTTGGGCTCAGACGGAGGGAGGGTCTCTTCTAGGGGGCTCTGGTGTGGCCTTTGCAGGTTCCAGAATGTTGGGGAGTCTGGCCTCGGAAGCTGTTTATGAGGACATTGGAGCTGTCCCCATGGGGGAGAAAGACGAGGGACCCAGAGTGTCCCAGAACCTGGCCCTGGAGGAGGAGTATGACGATGCAGGGGAGCCGGAGCTGGGTCCTGAGGAGGAGGAGGAAGAGGAGGAGGCACCCCTGAGCCCCACCGGTGTGCACCTCTGCATGCTGGCATCTGTCGCACTCTTCCTTCTGTACTGCTCCTATGTGCGGGGCTCTGCTCTGGCCAGTGCCTACATTTAAAGACCCTGAGAGCCGTCTGCCCGTGTGTCCATGTCCCTCACTCCTGCGCCACAGGCTGGGATGTCCCTTCAGAGCTGCTCCCTAGACAGGAATCTTCTTGTGGGGGATGTGGAGTTTAGAGAGGGTCCTGCAGTTTTCCTTGGGTTTCTTTTCATGGCTGCCCCCAGGGTCCCTCTAGTACCTTGTCCTGTTCGGTTGCAGGGGGCCTGAGCAGACAGGGTGGGAGGGGATGCAGTGTGACCCTGGCTCACCCACTCTAGTCCTTGTCTGGCCTCTGGTTTCAAGTGACACACCAGGGCCCAGAAGTGGTGGGGGCTCGGAGGGGTGGCCAAGGGGCCCAACGTGCATCTTTCTCCTTCAACACAGGTGGGGCTCCTTGTAGCCTCGGCCCCAAACCTTGGCCTGAGACAGAAGACACAGCATGCCCTGGGACGTGATGACAGTGAGCTGGCCATGGCGACATCAGTGACACTGGGGGGGGGGGATTGGGGGGGAAGCCCAGGCCCTGGGGGGCTTTCATTGCCCTCACTTCAAAAGGAGATGTCATTAAAGTCCCTTTGAACTCACTCATTCATGCATTAATTCATCTCAGGAACATTCCTCAGAACACCTCTCCCAGCCCAGGTGCAGTTCTCAGCTACCCCCTCTTCACCGTGGTCCGGTGTGGGCGCGCGTTTTCCACGATCCGCACCCGCAGCTTCCTGCTCACGTGGGTCTCGGGCATGCATCGTCGGAGTGGGGCATCGTCGGATTGGGGCCCCGAAGAATCAGCTCCTGGAGCGCCGCCTCGCAGAGGGCGCTGGAACCGGCCCACGTGTTCTGCAGTGTCAGGATCCCCAGCACTCACAGAGGGACCCAGCCCTTTGTGACCACACCCACTCTGGCCACAGCCTTCCATCCTCACTCCCTCCCC